ATGTTAACGAGTTCCTCCACGTAACTTTATAGACCATTCTGACGTAACTTGTACTATTGAGGAGAAGGATGCATGAACGAATGTTCCAAGCAACCGATGTCTACAACCATGCGAAAGCATACATGCGGAACAGGCAGACCAAAGATGGTGACAACTCTCGAGCATGTTAAACTGTGGGTCTAATGACACTACACCGTTTTCTGCATTGTCTTTGGGAAAATTTTATGGATGGAAAATTGAAACTANTGAAACTATATTCTGAAGACCTGAGTTTTAAATGAATTCATGAAATGATTCATTAGCTTACTGATTACTCCGCATCGAAACTGAGGGTTTCTGTGATTAGGAATAATTATCCAATTGTTATGAAACCCGTCGGCGTTTAACGAAGTACCAGTAATCACGTGTAATCCAACTGGTTCAATTTTATTGCTAATCCCAGTCAATCGGATTGTCACTGATCCCGACAAATTCTTTTGAGAGTCCAGAAAATCACCATAGCTCAATAACTTCTCCAGGTGTCAGTACACCTCCCCTTTTCAGCCCTGGTCACTTGCGCAGGTAGGTGAATTCGCGGGCAAATATACAAATGAAGTTCCAGCCCCTAACCACGAATTTTAGTACGACTGGAAACTAGAGAAATATTTCAATGAGACGCATTGTCTGTTCTCTCATTTTTACTACAAATTTTAGACGCGCTTGCCCCTGAATTCGGAAACTTTCATCTATCATGAAATAGTATTGTGGTTATTTTTTGCAAACTTCATACTTAGACAACAGACCGGTTGCTTTAGAGAAACATCTATAAATAGACACAATCACCCAATAATAATAATGGAGCTGAGTTCATCAGACTGAGGACGGGGGTATGTTTATTCCAAGATAAGTCAAGATGAGCTTCAGGAACCAAAGTGCTTACTAGTGGGTAGCTCCCATTAACACCAGCGTATTCTGCCTGCTCAGTCAAAATTGCAAGATTGATAAGAAAAACAAACAACAAATTATTTTCATATATAAAAGCATTTTGATTATTTTTGTTTAGCGCAATTATCCTTCTACATAAACGCAGAACAGTAAAAAAGGAATAGAGTTAGGACAACAAAGTATGTGTAACGAAGCAGTCTTCAAAACAATCTGAAATAAAGTACATCACGTGAACACAACGTAAAAATAGGGTTATATGCATTCGATGAAGCATTGAGAAGGAAAAAAAGAAAATCCGAGGGACTTCATGGAATAAACAAAGTACAGCTCGTATTGTAAACACTTTCGTTAAGAAAGCGTGAAAGTTCCGTTTCGTTGTGAAAATTCAAACTTGTGCCATTGTTGTACACACAATAGACACCAAAGTAATGACTCCATCTAAGAACTGATCGACAGATAAGACAAACCACGAATGGCACCAAGAATGCCGTGACTAGCAGGAAACGGCAAAGATATACCCGTTCGCCCCTTGATGGTTCTTGAGGTTGGAAAGTGTTACCGTCCACTGGGTTTCCTTGGATTGCAAGGGGGACTGCGAAACCACCTGAGGCTAAAATGCGCAACAATAGGTATGAGACAGATTTGATCTTTGAGGACATCAAGAACAAAGAAAATATGTGATGCTGAGCTTGTCGTAAATTGAACATTGCAAGCATGATCTCGGTCGTTCTGTGCCCATTCACAGACACATTGGTTTGGCAGTCGTCCCAATGTAGGTTTAGCTTCCCGAGAATTACTTCAAGGTCTGAACTCTCACTAAGTTTTCTTTGTGAAATCGTTTGTAGTGTGATCATTAAATAACAGGATCCGGGACCAAAGAGCGCCAGCCTCGAACCCGAGAGTAACTTCAAGACTTCAAGATTTTAAGGCAGATGTTTCAGCCTTCCCGGGACTAATCAGTACTAAACGCAATTCATGTCCCTGTCAGACCACAATGGCCAAACTTTGGGTTCACAAAAACAATGCACAGACAAGTATTTAGCAATAATGCATCCAATTCAACCCACTGTGCGTTCCACACGTCAACTGTCGTATATGTTGGTCACATGTAAGAGGTTCGGTTCCCAGCCCGGAAGTTTGCAATTTTGAGTCGCGGTAAGGACACGAAAATAGTGAGCATTGCTGATCAGTCCTAATTGGGACAACAAGCTTTTTTCGGTCAGTAGGTAAATTCTTCCTGGAATGATGAAGCATTCAGCCATTTAGGTCATAAACGAGTGTTCGATTACCGACCACCGGAGGGATGAGCTATTATAATGATCAGGCAGCTTACTTGCTTTGTTGATAGCCAGAGGTATTCTGTGCATACGCATAGTTATACTCGCTAAGCAAAAGCAACTATGACTGATTTTGCCCTATATTCCAAGTTCATTTCAATTTTAGCTCTTCAAATATTGTGGTTTGTACACTTATGCTCCAAGGTGAAGGAGAGGATGAATTTCACTACAACTGGCATGAGAAATCGCAAAAAGAGGTCAATGCTTAGCAGAAATATAAACAGTACTAACTAGCACCCCATACACATCGAGTTTGTTGTTGCATGCAGTGCGTAGCCTTTGAGAGTCTGTTCAGATTTTCAATGGAGAATAGAACGCAAGCAAATTGCAACTCAGATGGATTGTGCTTATTGCCTACAGTTCAATTGTGTAAATTGAAGCATCAAGTGTATACTTAATGTTGCTCACTATTCTGAAGATTGATACAGAACACTCCATCGGAAAGTACTGGAAAGACTAGCATAAAGTTAAGTAGGCCGAAGACAACAAGTCCACGAGGAAATCCACTCACCCGGTGAGAAAGCGGAATTGGTGATAAACGTAAGGTTTCAACGTCCTTAGCGAACCGGTACATTAAGTGATGAGTGTAAAGCGATGATGACGTACAATGTATTATGTTTAAAGCATGAGTTTTGATGCGTCTTATTTATTGACACCGTGATTTCCAGGGATTTCACATCATCCATCTATTTTTCTGCACTTGACCAGGTGATTTGAAAGAACGCGTGGGCGAGTGGGTAAAAACTCCTTTGTCGTTGGAAGCCAAGAGAGGTATACCATGCGGTAGCTTGGAACAATGTGGGTATCACTGAGGATTAGCGGATTCAGATAACTTGCTCCAAGATCATGAGAAAATTAATGCTATTTTTGCTTCCGTAAAGTTGCTCAGTCGGTTCAACCTTTCATTAAACGGAAAATAAGATGCAAATATGAACGACAACAAAATTTGAAATCGTTAAAAGTAAATTTAGTCAACCAGCGAGACGGTCTTTTCCACCTTTGGAATATGTGCTTAGTGATTTTAACTTACACCAAGTCACCGCTACAATTTGGTGGATAAAATCTTTTGAGTCAACCAACAACCCACCAGTTAAATCAGCAAGCAGTCAGCACCAAATACACAAAGTGTATCAAAGTAGTTGTACAGTGATCATCGTCATCAACATAATGATAATTATACTTCACGCCAACTTTAATACGCAACTAAAAGTATAACCAATTTTTATCAAGAGAGGGGGTAGAAGCAACCTATCCAATAGTGTGAAGGCAGAGGAATAAACGCCAATTATGTGGTGCAGAAGTGAAATTCTGATTGACGATCTTCATATGGATATGTCGTCGACCTTAACGGTTTTATCACCGCGTGCTAAGGTGGTAAATTTTGAACCCACACCGAACCACAGATCTTATATTCAAATCTAATCAAATTTAGACCACCTCCCTTCCCCGACCGAATTTGATTGGTTCATTGCACCGTCATCAAAATGGGAAAATAATACTTCAAAAATGTTGACCATATTCTTTTGATTAACGATTTTTGAGAAAACATTTCGATGTATTCCTCAACGGGATGAAGTTTCAGCAACAATAAGCACGCTTGATTGTGGCACTTTCGAAGCAGTTAGCAACCGCACCAAACAGGTGAATTACAAAAAACACGATAACCCTGCTTGTTAATTGAATTCCTTTTAGGGCTGCTGAATAAGCATTGAATGGTTTTTTTCTTATTTTAGTTTACATTGATGCAAAAGCCTCTAATTTTCTCAGCACACGTTTGTTGAGGAGGATGGGTTTCTACCATCATCAGTTCAGTTGATTGATGGCATTCAAATCATGGTGCTATCACTGTAGCCCCGAGTGACGGTGCCCTCTTCTCATCCCTGAAAATTACAATTTATTTATTACCAGGCGAGCAGAAAGAGGAAAAGCACTCACCTAAACTAACTCTGTTTTCATGTACCTGAAAATGTCTTTCAATACAGGACAGCAGATTGTACAGTACGCAACATAAACTTATCCCATAATAGTCCAATTCTGAGTATCTTGCAGACATGATCCACATTAAACAAAGAGGGTTACAAACACCATTAAGAATCTTATTATTATTGTAGGTGGGTCAGAATCTGATACGCAAATATTAAGATAGTGTGCATAATTCCTGTCGGTATGTCCGTCCGAGGGGTGATATCAATCATTCATGGTTACAATGAGAGGTAGTAAATTTCTGGTAACTATCACCATTGTCTAGCGATTCGACGACAACTGAAGATGAACACACTGGTTGTATGCTTTCATGCAGCTGTGTTCATTTGGTAAAATCTAATCGCATCTCATTGAAGTGATTCTATTGCAAGAGGTTGTAATTCAAATATGAGCTATTTTGTAGCTTACATTCGTCATTCATGTGGCTAGCTGGCGCCGGTTGCAATTTGAATTTTCCTGGATTCACCCGTTTCATAGCCTGTATTGGGGGTGATGAAAAAAGAAATCAGTGGTCTGTGCATTCAGTAGGCGAAAAAAACATGCAATGCGCCTAGCTATTCACGCTTAAGATGTCAATTTAATGCGTTATTGAACTTCGTAAGTGGTTTGAAATTTGCCTAGAGGCAATGATAATTTCAAGCGGCTAAACGAGCAAAGGTTTCGATTAACGAACTGAATCAAATCGGTAAGTTTCGACCAAGTAGCGAGAGAAAGTGCTGGAAAATCTACCGATTGTACAAATCGAAGTGATTCCCTTACAAGATGCTGCTTCCTACCTTCTCGGAGAGGTTGGTTTGTCTTCCTCTATGTGCAGTGAGCATGATAGATGGATTTACAAGTCACTGAGAGTGTTTCCACTTGCAACAATCGAAGAACGATTGCAGTGCATTTTTTGCATCTTAACCAAAGCACTTACAATACTGCATTGTAGAACCTAAGAAATTTGGATGCCCAAAATATATTTTTTTCTTTTTCATTTTACTTCCTTTTATTGAAGATACAAAGATACAATTTTCAGGAGGGGTGAAGCGGCCAATCAAAGGGCTGCCATACAGTAAAAAAATGGGGAAACTCAGGCGGTGGTAGTGGGATTCGAACACTCGTCCTCCGGGGTGATAATCGGTTACGTTACCACCGGGCCACTACCGCCCTATATTTCACTTAGCAATTTGTCTTTCAGTCCCATACGTGATATCACTGAGGAGAGTTCCATAGTGATGCGATGAACAATTCTGACAATAACTGGCAGATGTATTTTTGGATTTTACCACTGCACGAGGCTCTGATGCCAAACTTTCCGGAATAGTGTTGCGTTTCAACATGGATTGAGATCGAGTTGATTGGAACACTATTTTGTTCACCTTTATGTAGCGCATTGGGCAGTTTAAAAGAGGATAGTAGAGACTCTACACCTTGGTGAAAACTTAATTGATGATTCTGAGCCTAGAAAGTTATCAGCAATGAAAATTATTTTAAGCATTCTTCTACTGAAAAATTCATCGTCTTACTTGTTTCTTCTCTCTTTATTCACCTGTTTTTTATCAAATAGAACTTTTGATTTTGATTTTCATTATTTCGACGGCTCCAAAATAATCCCACCTTATACATATATATATATATCAACTCGCCTTTAAAATCGCCGATGAAATTTGTACCTTCAGTGAAATTTTGTGGTGTTGTTCGAAGTTGAATTGGTATCATCAATCTGTGAAACCAATACTTTATTAAGTGACTTAATAAATCTGATGGTGAGCCTTGCATGGTGGTATTCACAAATCCGTTCAGACCATCGCCTGTCCATGCGCCCCATGTACCTTGTTCCTTAAGATCAAGTAAATGAACCTATTGCGAGTTTCGTCATGTGCAGAGCGAACGAAGCGTGAACTTTAAAGCTAGGAAGCCTTGAACAGCCGTTTCGATTTGACTTGATCTCACCAACAATGGGAATCAATCGACCCAACTGAATATGGGATCTGAGTCCCAACAAGTCGAAGGCCTAGTTCTACATTTTTTCTGTGTACATAATAGCACAGATGTTCAACAGGTTTGTGATGTGAGCACCAGCGAGGAAGAAAGTGACATCCGGAGAGAGCATTGTTCTATCGGCCAAGTTCATGTAACGCAGTTTGTTCACTAAAGTAAACGTATACCTTAAATTGTACTCCACTAAAGATGTTTTAGCCAACCGTTTCCCCAGTTTGCACAATGTAGTGAGTTGTACATATATCGAAAATGGTTGTAATGGTGTTCATTTGTTGTGTATCGTTGGTAATCCTAACATCCAATGAATAACAGTTTCGGTTAGAAAGTAGGTGCATCGATGTTTCCTGCACTGCTCTAAACATCGCCAACACTTAGTGCCTCCTTATCGTTTTCCCCTGTTTTGATTAATTTTTGTTGATAATGCACATGTCATCTATTTAATGCATTCGGGTTTATTCGAAATCACGTTTGTTGAACCCTTATCCGCTCTGAGTAATACAATGCCCCTATTTTTGCGAAGATCTGATCGCTTNGATCGCTTGGGATGTTTTACTATCACCATTTAACTTGTATTCAATTAAACAATCCAGTTCTGGTAACACTTATTACCTAGGGTTGAACTGAAAATTTGCAAATTCACTAATGAAAATGGAATTTGGCCAGAAATGCGTGCACACATTTTCAGACGGCATTTCTAGATACGGTTTTTAAATCTGAGGTTAAAAAGAAAAACCGTTTTGCTATAAATCACACTCCTTACAGCTTTTGTTCAAACTTACGAATAAGTTACTATGAGCATACTGCTCGATGTTAGTAGCAAACTCATCAAATGGCTCGGAGCGATTCATTCCGATGCAACAGGAAATTCTCTGTGCAATCCCTTCTGTCTTCAACGCAATTGATGCATGGACCTAGGCTTCCGTGATCCACCCCTCACATCCTACCCCGCACATCTTCATTAATCTTGATGATCGGATGAGTGAACGAACAACAGCATCAATAATGTGAATCTAACTTTCGGTCTCACGATGAAAGCGATTTGATAATCTGTGATGACTTCTTTCTTTCACTTTACGGTTTTCTCCTTGATCGGTGATGCAAAAATGTAATGTGGTGGTGTATTTATGAATCACTTACAACGAGCTTATTTACCACTGTGTTTTGTTAAAAACGTGCTCTGTGGGACCGTTCAGACAAATGTTATTTTAGTAAACGATAATAATTAACTAATTTCTTGATTAGAACTGATCATCCTTCGAACTTCAGCTTTACACATTTCTCAGCTGTTCTAATCAACCATACACTCGGAAGCATTAGACCGAAGTTTCACTTATAGTTAAGCTCATCAGTAGTGCAGATCTGCCGTCCCATCCGGCTTTGAACTTCGGACCCATCGCACGGAATGGGTGTGTTACCACTGTGCCAATTATCCCACAACACTACTCACAAATAACTGTGAGTTAAATGCGAAATATTAACTTACTAGAGAACTCCATCGTTTACAAATACCGTTCACAGCTGGTTGCGGTCAGAACATTGTTGACATAAAACGTAATTTGATTGAAAGGCAATAAATTGACAATGAAACATGGAAGGAACCGGTTTGATGGACCACTAAAATTTAAAGGGTTTGCTAGTTTTCCAATCTTTCCATGATTTTCTGAATAATTTGTAATTTACATGGGTGAAGTTGTGAGTGGTCATGAGTGACGACAATTGGTCTGAATAGGTAGTATTTTACAGCACATCACCGATCACAAGGAACCCTAAATTAAACTGTCACACGCAACAGAGCAATAGGCTTCACTGATGAACTACCCATGGAACGTGCAATAGAAATTAATAAAGAAAAAAGAAATTGGATGAGGAAAGGTTTATTGTACAACTTTGGTGAAGTTGTATCGTTGTTGTCGATCGTCAAAACGGTATTTAATCATTCATCCTACTTGTGTTCAACCAGAAGGCCTTGTTATCTTCTTGCAATTCACTAACTTCACTAGGACCCGGATGGGACGGCTTCATTGGAAAGGTTCTGAACCCGAGTATAATGTAAAAAAGGTATCAACTGACTTCGAATGAGGATTTGGTCATAAGCAATATTCATTTGAAGGAAGCATACCATATAAACAGCTTCAAGGATGCTTGACCTTGAAACGCTATACATTTTACAGTGGTGCACATATGCATGCGAAACAGACTAATTTTTGCTTCAACACCACTGTGAGTTTGTTTGTACATTACCAACTACTTTGAAAACTAAAGTTTGTGAAACGTTCTTCATAGGTGACTGATGAAAAGACGCTTACTTACCAAAGTAACTTGTTTCTCCCAGTTCAATCGAGTAAGAACGATTAGATAGGTCGTGCTGGACAGTATCACGCCAGTGCACAGACCATACCACAAGCCTGATTGGTAGAGGAGCGAAAAGAAAAGTATAACTGGTTTATTAGTACGCTGTGAAACGCAGTGGGGTTTCAGTTGTTCCAAGCGTCGTATATTTGATTTATCTAAAGCCGACTATCATTTATTCTGGTGGTTGACGACGAGTGAACTCTTGCAGGTTCTAACAACAGCTCATATAAGTGGTAATTTTGAGTGCACAAATGGGAAGTGCTGGGAATGGATTCTGAACACGTTATCATAAGAATACAAAATCTTATACTTTTCTATGGTCCAGCTTTGCTTCTATACAGTGTTCGGAAGTTTTTGGTCACATTTACGGTTAGATTAGTGCCTAACGTGCTTGTCATTAACTTTATTGCATTGCCTCTTTCTCACGTCGGATGGACGCTTTCGGACAACTCCTAATAATGCAACCATTACATTTTATTCCACAGGGGTAAGTGAGGAGACAAAAAATGAGACTACAGAATAAAACATTTTATCTTTTGCCGTTGGATCTCCTATAGACTGGATGCAAATAAGTTCGCAGCATGGATGCACAAAAGATTTTCTTTACGCTGTGATAGCCTTCTGATCACTGGTTTTATTGGTATACTAGTTAAGTGAAAAAGATTTATACGTACTGTTAAACTGTCTCAGTTTATTCCGAAGGCAATTCATTAGCTTAAAGTAAAGATTCCATTAAACTTTTTGGGTTTCCGGTCTGGACTAAATTAATCTGCACATTCTTGAATTCATCAACAACCGTGTCCTGCATGCATATTCTTCGACCATTCTTCTATCATTCGAACAGGTTATGGGGTTTTTGTTCATTTTTAAAGATAGGAATTTCATAAAATGAAAATACCACCTCATTCAGGTTTTTGCCTTGTGCTTCGACATCGTGATGGTTTAGCCCTATATCTAGCTATGCTAACCGATTATCTGTTTTCAGTGTTTGACCCAAGACCGCACCAATCAGACAAACACTCAGTTTTGACATTCATCTTGTTTGTCACTGACGACAGGACAAGACATGGAAGAACGTCACCAAGAAGTACGGAGAATTTTCAAACCTCCGGGTGGCCTCCGGGTTCCGATGATGGAAGAAGACTGGATCACGATTTGCACTGCGCTACTGAGAACCAAGAATTCGTGGTAATCATGAAAACAATTTATCCTCTAATGGAAGTAAGCAGTTAAGTAAAGCTATAATATAGTTTTTAAATCTAAGTGCACATTATTCGTCGGATGCTCTTTCTTACAAATCCACCACTGACTACCTTCACGTTTGATGCCGACAGAGTGAAATCAAAGCTTGTAGGTCTACGTAAGTATTAGGCTCTAGGTGCAGAAAATCTATATCTCCAACCGCTTATTGCGTTAGGGGATCACATATCTGAGCCGCTAGCTTTTCTTTTCCAAAGGATTTGACTCAACCGTGCTGCCCAAGTCGTGGAAACAAGGCATAATTTCCCCAATTTACAGCGGTGGCTGTCGTAGTGATCCTGCCAACTACCGCCCAGTGACACTCCTACCCTTTCTATCCAAAGTCATGGAATCCATCTTAGCGGATTTCTTGATGGAACACTTAGAGAAATACGACCGCCTTTCCCCAGCTCGGCATGGATTCCGTCAAAAGAGATCATGCAATACCAATCTGCTTCTGGCCCGCGATGAATGGACAAAGGCGATGCAGTTGGTATGGTATACCAAGGCTTCTCCGAAGCGTTCGATCGGGTGAACCATGAAATACTGCTCCGTAAACTGTACAATTTTGGTATCAGAGCCCTCGCGCTTGATCGGATTGCTGCTTTTTTCCAACAATGGACCATGTCGGTTAGAGTCTCTAAATCATTATCCGTCCCTAGCACCGTTTCTCGCGGAGTCCCCTAGGGTTCTGTGGTTGGTCTGCGACATTTTCTCCTGTTCATAAACGACCTACCGAATGTCCTAGCACCACAAACGTAATTGTTTGCAGACGATGTTAAAATCTGGAAGACAGTGACAGAAAGTGGAGGTTCGCTGGAACCCCAAGAAACATTGAATGCAGCTCAGAAATGATCTATTGAGAACGACATCCAATTTAGCGTCTCCAAACGCAAGGTGATTTAGCTACGCCACCATGGGCGGTTTCCTTATTTCCTCGGAAACGAATTACTGCCTCATGCATCAACAGAGAACGACTTGGATGTTACAGTCCACAAAGACCTGAGCTGTTTTATTAACTGTGCCAGGGCGTAATCAACCGCACTCAAATATGTCGGTCCACTTAAATGTGTTTTCGGTCGTTTTGAACCATCTTTATTCTCACATCTGCCGTCAGCATACAGCCGGTCGCATATTGGTGTGCAATTCAAACTTGGAATCCATGGTTTCAACGTGATCATAAGATTTTGGAGCGTCCATAAAGGCTCGCCACAAAGATGTTCAAAGGAATCTTTGCAGATGAGTTATTCAATACTGAGAGAAACTCGGCACCCTCACTGATACGAAAATGAGGAGAGCATTCCAAAGAGGCCCATTAAGCAACCAAATAGCTTCAAGTGATAATTGCGCCGAACAAGGAGATAATTCTACCTGTAATAAACGTCACTTTCTTCATTGTCTAACCGGTGAGCGCAAGTCTCTGATCCAATTCCGTAACAATGCACACGGAATGACAACATAGAAAGAGAAGTGATTTCAATATATTTAGTTTCAAGTGTCGAATTAAGTTACACAGAACAGTGACCGATAAAAGTTAGAACTATCTTACCTTCTATACCGTAATGAGCACCGAAAATCAATCCCATTCCAAGGGGTCCACCAAAGATATACAGAGAAATGAAGCAGACAATGGCTCCAAAATGTTGCAGTCCGGCCCCTCGAATTATACCCGAACAGACACCCTGAAACAGATGAAGACAATGTGTGTAGCTCAGTTTGTTTCATTGAGGGTAACTCGTACGGTAGTGATGATGTTGATGGCAATGATGTTTCAATTGATGGGTGATCTTAACTGCGCTTTATTGCGCGCTGACTGCTTAATTAGTTTAAGAAATGCCTCAATTCGCAGTTCTAATTTGAAGGTAGCTCCAACAAAAAAAGTTAACTTACTCCGAGTCCATCCAATAGTTGGAACACAGACAGGATCGGGAGTAACTGTCCGGCCGTAGTTGCTACCTCCCTGAAATGGACAGAAAAGTGGTTTCAGTCTTTTTATTTCGTTTTCTGTACACTGAATTACAAAGTCGGCGATCGTATAGGTTTCGATGATCGCTGGCTCATAGCCTACCTTCTGGCACTCTTCGAATTCACGGAGTCAACCTCGATAGATGGAACTTCAAGAGAAGTTTAAAGTGTCATCTCCAAATTAGTATGACTAACAGGAAAAGGGATCGTGTGCTATCACCTTAAGTCTTGTCCAGAATGGAACAGAACAGAACAGAACAAAAGCAGTAGTTCAGGGTGACGCGTTAGATTAATCGCATTTCTGTTGGATTTTCAAAGGTTTTCTGTCGGGTAAACCACCCACTGCTGTTGCATCCTCTATGAACACCAGGATGCGAATAAATTGATATTACTGGGAGTGGAGTCCATAGAGTACCACAGAATTCGAGAAAAATTGTTTTTTGTTGTATGACATACTGCAGGACATAAGTAACCAATATTCTCTGCGACTAGCACCATTACCCGCCGTTTACCTCAAGGGTTATCCATTGAAATGGAATTGAGGAAATTACCAACAGCACTCTCCCAATGAAAGTGCCCACAAGTTGTAATGCTGTTCAAATTCTACGTCATATTTTCACACTGAGGTTGAGTTAACTGTTGGCGTACCTAACCTTGCATCTAAACACCAGTGAGACTGCATACAACAAAAAGGAATGAGGTTACATCCTGTGAAAATGTTATGCCCAGAACTCTACACTTTATTTTTGATTTTGATCAAAAGGCGATTCAACTGCGGGAATATCCTATGGGACAAGATTATCATGAGGGTATGAGTAAGTCCCACTAATCCAAGTTTGAGTTCAACTATTACTTTCCCTTGATTTCAATTTTTAAAGATAGATTTTCAAATAATAAACTTGTACATTCCCGGTAACCCCTCTAGAATTTATTAACTTATCACAAATAGTACTGATAGAATAGACGAATTTTCTCAAGAGAAATTCTGGCATTCGTAACAGTGAACTATCCAGAACGCAAAATGGTCAAATTGAATGCGAGAATAATGTTCAAAACTTACTCATTTTGTGTAAAAATATATGGTATTCGAAAGCGCAGACCGACAAACAGTGCTATCATCGGCACGGCTGATAAACCTGAAATGCACAAGTGGGATCAATTCATTCAGGACTCACTCCAAGAGATGAAAAGTGATACGTGCGTATTGCACAGATCACCAAGACTTGACTTACTCATTACAATCAGCGATACAGAAGTGACCGATTTCGGTCCAATGGAACTTCTGGCACCCAGAAAGTGTCCAACACGTATGCTTGCCGCAGAACCAATACCAAGAGGAAGCTAAATTTGATGAATAGGGAAATGATAAAAAACAATTTATTTGTATTGAATTGGTTTTCTGATTAATAGATGGAACATTTCGTGGGTAAAACGCTGTTGAATTAATTTTAAAATACCTAATTTCTACTACTGTTGTGCTCCACGGAATTCTCAATTTACGAAAACTAACGGGCAGGTATATAACCAAAGTAGAACCACGGTTACATAGGGCTTCTTCTGATGGTTACGTGGGGTGGGTTTACATTGGTTGATCACTATCGATTCACAAGTCATACTGACCGTTATATCCTACTTAGTCGAATTTCTCACATTGCTTTCGCTGTTTTTCCAGTGTTGTATTACAGTACAACCCAGATATCAACGCTCTGGTCCGAAATTTACTTCCTCTCCTCAAGTTAAACATAATCTAGCTATTCGCATTTGAGGTTGATGTCATCAGCATAGATAGAAAGCAGGGATGCTTAGGTAAACGGGTCGCACAACACATTTCGATATCGGTTCAGCGCGAAGTTAGCAAAATGGATAGTACATAATCCCAGCCAAAAAGAGACCAAATACACAGAACTCATAGATCACCTGTCGTGAGCCTTGTGTTCGCATCTAGTTAATCGTGCTGAATCATTCATAATTATCTACTTGGCCAGCAGCTTACAGTTACTAATGTTGTGAGGTATTACTCACATTTGTGAGCAGTATGCATAAGCGCAGGCCTGGCGATTTCCTTTAACAATCAAGATCACTGAGGGCGAATTACTGTGCCCCAAAGAATAACTACGGACTGCTCTAATTATTACCCGGTGTGCTACCGGGAATTGCGATGGCATGTTTCAAATGAGATATCTTTTATATATACGCCAAGTTTTTGATATTACAGCTGTAATCTGCAATAAAGGACTATCCTCGACCAGGCACCCTCTTGTGGAATTATAACACTATTACTTGGAGTTTACGGTGATCGAACGATGGAATTCCTCCACGCCACCCCCTAAAAAACCTTTCTGTTACCTTAGCTGTACATGAAAATGTATTAGACTGCCCCCCCGGCATTTTGAATTGGCGCCCTTGTCTTTCACTCTGTAAAGCTATTTTTATTTCACTTCGGGCAATCTATATCTACATCCATCGGAGACAGAGCCATAGTACCCAAATTATTGAATGAACTGGAAATTACAAAGGAGAGATGCAGTTAAGGCAGACGAGACCGCCCTCTGATAGCTAATTGTTCGGTATTCTCAATTTTTTATGGTTCGATGGTTAGGTGAAATGGAGGCGTCAAATGGCTGTGACTAATCGCACTTTACATCAAAAATTAACCTGAACAAAGTGATGCTCAGTTCGGTCACCAGCATTCACGAAATTTCAGTTTGTTGAGCCAGTTCACGCTGCTTGAAAGACTCAGGGTTGTTGTATCTCATATTTTAAGCCAAAAACGTCATGGTGCTTTCCCTTATGCGACTAGAGATTTCAAGTAGTTTTGTACTCCTCCTCCGCCGCATAATTTCTCTGGAAATTGAGTTCTACTCAACATTTAGACTACCTAGCGCTATACAAGCATTTTAAGTACTTCATTGTATCTAGGCCGAATTCATTCATTTGACCTCAGATTTTGTAGTATCTGGAATTCTGTACCACCTCACGTTTTTTCTGTACCCACAACTGATTATTTCAAGCACATATTAGATAAATCATTATCATGTCTTAAACTTTGACATTTATAGCAGTAAATGAGACAATCAAAATGTTTGCAAGTTCTCATTTCTCTATCATCGGTAAATGAATGCAGTTCAGAAAAACCCTAAGGGACAAGAAAAGCATGCGCTTGTAGATATTTCTTGTAATCAAACTTTGATTTTGATCATTGACAGCGTGAGAAATATCAGCTGACATGATATAACCCATGCTCCTACAACTGTCAGCCTGTGAATGTTACAGCTGCCTTATGCCTTGATCCAGTGCCCCCTTGAGGAAACATATGGTCTTCGTGGACAACATGCCACATTTCGTCTGAGTCATGTCTGCACTTGTGACTTTCGCTACCGCCTACCCCTCTTCAGATCAATAATCATTTTGAATCGGTCTGTATAGCAAATTATTTTGTCACCATCTGTCCGCTTCCCCTTGAGCTCTCGTTTGACCCATATAACTTTGCTGTATTACATAGTGTGTTTTCTGTCTCCCATTTAGATACATCTCTACATGCATTGCTGACAAACAAGCGTACACCTGGACTGAATGACTGCGATTGGTCGATTAACTGCTTTAAACAAATTGCTCCATTTGAAATTCCCTGTTCTCTGGTCTG